ATTCGTGTGCAGGTGGTTTACGAGAAGTATGCTCAGAAACAATGTCTGGAAGGGATGAGAAAAGCAATAATAGGCAATATCTTAGGGAACTCTGAAGCTAAAATTATCCTTCTGAACTGTCCCAAATTGGGTCAAAGGAACATGTGTTTCTACCGCAAAATAACCAGTCATTGGATGCATTTTGTCCCCAGGAAAGGACTTAAACTTGTCAAAGCACCTACAGGCAGCTGAGGGTAATGCTTCTAAAGGCACTCTGCGTTCACTGTAGTCAGGCCACGTTCCTGACAACTGTCCAAAGTGCCTTGTCCTAAAAAAAACAAAACAAAACAAAAAAAAAACATGTGGATAACACCCCACAGTATCCACTACACCCCTACACTCCTATTCCCTTCTCCAGAAACAAAAACCATGACATGTCTGTATCCCTCCAGATCTGTTTTTAAACTCATATACATATATATTTTCATACACAAGTGTATGTGTATAGATGTTTTCTTTTTTTACTTCAAGTGATTCACAAGATATGCATTATTCTATTGTGATATCCATTTGTGTTGGAGATCTTTCCATTCCAGTACAAATAACTCTCTTTTTTGTTAACAAGTACATAATATTCCATATTGCAGATGTCAATTTCATCAAATGCTTTTTTTTTTTCATCTACTGGAGTGTCATATAGTAATCCTCAAGCTTACTAATTCTCAAGATGTTTGAAGTAAATATGCATAAGCACAGCAAAGAACATTTTATTTATTCTTTTTTTTTTTAATAAAGTCTGTGTCCAACGTGGGCTCAAACTCGCAACCTCAAGATCAAGAGTTGTGTACTCTACCAACTGAGCCAGTCAGACATCCCTCACCAAAGGACATTTTCAAAAATGATCAGTAATGAAGGAAAAAATAATAAAAAATAAAAACAAGTGGCGTCTGGGTGGCTCAATCATTAGGCATCTGCATTCAGCTCAGGTCATGAGTCCAGCATCCTGGGATGGAGCCCCGCATCAGGCTCCCTGCTCAGCAGGAAGCCTGCTTCTCCCTCTCCCACTCCTCCTGCTTGTATTCCCTCTCTTGCTGTCTCTCTCTCTCTGTCAAATAAATAAATTTTAAAAAATAATAAAACTAAAAAAATAAAAAGAGAAACAAAAAAATAAAAAATAAAAAAATAAATGATTAGTAATGAGGAGAGTTGCCATACCAGAAAGCAAGTCATAGTAAAAGGCAATAGTAATTGACACAATATGGTATCATTGCAGGGATACAAACAGATAAATAAAATGAATAGAAAATCCAACAACAGACTTCGCATTTATATAAAAATATATTCAGTTTATGATAAAGGTGCAATGTAAGGAATTGGGCAACTTGATATTTAGAAATTAAGTTATATTCTACCTCACACCTTATACAGATAAAAATTCTAGACAGACTTAAAATTGTAATATAAGGGACACCTGGGTGGCTCAGTCAGTTAAGCATCTGCCTTCTACTCAGGTCATGATTCCAAGGTCCTGATATCAAGCCCTGGGGTCAAAATCATTGCTCAGCAGAGAGCCTGCTTCACCCTCTCCCACTGCCTATGGTTCCCTCTGCTTGTGCTCTCTCTCTGTCAAATAATTAAATAAAATATTTAAAATAAAATTTAAAAAATGAAACTCTTCATCTCATTATTACAATATTAAAAAAATTGTAATATAAAAAAGCCCATAAAACTATTAGAGGAAAATATGAAAATATTACCATAAACTCAGTTTATTAATGGAAACTTTTCCTAAGCATGAAATGAAACCAAGAAACCATGAAGGAAAAATGTGAGTTTATATTGCATAAATTCAAAAACTTCTATGGAAATAAATACTCACACGATACAAAAAACAGTATTATATGACAAGTGATAAATTAAAAAAATATATTTGAGGTGAGTACAATTGGGACACCTGGGTAGCTCAGTCAGTTAAGCGTTAGACTCTCGATTTCATGATTGGACTCTTGATTTCAGCACAGGTCATGATCTCAGGGTCATGAGATCCAGCTGGGTCAGCTCTGAGCTGGGTATAAGAGCCTGCCACAAACACAGTGTCCTCCCCTCCTGCCCTCCCCTCCCGTCCTGGCTCAAACACACTCTCTCTAAAAAGAAAAACAAAAAAAAGGAAGTGCATATAATCATCCAAATCACTAATACACAGGATATATAATAAAGAAGAGACAGTGACAAATCATAAAAAAAGATATAATTTATAGAAGAGATATAAACATCCAATACGGATATAAAAAGTTACTCATCCTTACTAGAAATCACAAAAATGTGAATTAAAACAACGTAATACAGAGGTGGGGAGAGAGAATCATCAAGAATTTAAATATCATGGGGCACCTGGGTGGCTCAGTGGGTTAAAGCCTCTGCCTTTGGCTCAGGTCATGATCTCAGGGTCCTGGGATTAAGCCCCACATTGGGTTCTCTGCTCAGCAGGGAGCCTGCTTCTCCCTCTCTCTCTGCCTGCATCTCTGCCTACCTGTGATCTCTGTCTGTCAAATAAATAAATAAAATCTTAAAAAAAAAAAAAGAATTTAAATATCAGGGGTGACTGGCTGGCTCAGTCAGAAGAGCATTGACTCTTGATCTTGGAGTTGTGAGTTCCAGGCCCACAATGGGCATAGAGATTACTTAAAAATAAACAAATAAACTTGAAAAAAAAAATACACATGTATACGGGGAAATGCATGCAAGAATCTTGAATGCAGTTTAGTTTGTAATTGCAAAAGATTTGAAATGATCTAAGTATCCATTAATGAGAACATTTAGTCAAATATAATACATTCATGCTACAAAATATTGAATAATTTTTATCAATGTATTTTAAAATACTTTATTTATTTATTTGAGAGAGAGAGAAGAAGTGCATGCCTGAGAGAGAGAGAGTGAGAGAGAGAGAGAGAGACCTCATGAGCGGGGGGTCCAGGGGAGAGGGAGAGGGAGAGGAGGGCGGAAACAGACTTCCTGCTGAGCAGAGAGCCAGACGGGACTCCATCCCAGGACCCTGGGATCATGACCTGAGCTGAAGGCAGACACTTAACCAAATGAGCCACCAAGGTGCCCTATTTTTTAAAGATTTATTTATTTGATGGGGGAGGGTCAGAACGGGGGGAGAGAGAAGAATCTCAAGCAGATGCCCCACTGAGCACCAAGCCTATTGGTCAGTCTCACAACCCTGAGATCATGACCTCAGCCCAAACCAAACATTGGACATTTGGTCGACTGAGCCCCCCAGGAACACCTAAACAGCACTTTAGAAGAATGAGAGAACTGGCACTGAAAAGTCTCCTCAATACATGCACAGGATTGATGTAGTTTTGGGGTGTTGCTGGGATTTAGAGCCCACAGCCAAGAAAGAATTCTTGAGACATCTTCAGTGCAAAAAAGGTGGTTTTATTAAAGCATGGGGACAGGACCTGTGTGCAGAAAGAGCTGCACTGGGGTCATGAGGTGTGACCAAGCGTATACTTTCAAGTTGGGAAGGCGTTCGGGATAGCACAAGCCTCCAAGGTATTTTGGACCATGATGGGGCTAGCTATTGTTAGGAAAAGGTCATTTATTACTGTTTAGTAAAAACTCAGTCATGAGAATATTCAGATGTATATCGGTGGGTTATACACTTAAGGATAATTGCCAACATATATGTTGAGGGGTAGAGATAAAGGAAGTTTCCAAAGGAATTTTTATACATTAAAGTAGACTTACAGGATCCTGAGGGTTGGGCTAAGATTGCCTTTTGCCCCCAGCAAAGTGTTAACATCGAGGCAGCTGGGGTTTCTAGAGGAATGTCACTCTGCCTGTTTCAAGGACCCATCAGTGAGCTATAGGTAAAAAGGAAATTTAATTTTTCTTTTGCCTTTGTTTCCCACATCAATATTAAGAAAAAAAACCTGATCATATATTTAAATATACATATCCTTATTTGAACATATGTATGCATACATGCATACACATATAATAAATACAATAAACTCTTATCAGTGGCTATAAATGTGGGAGGGCACTGGAACTGATCCTTGGGTAAAGTGGCACTTCTGCTTCTCATATGTATTGTTCTGTGTGATTTGAAAACATAACAGTGAGCCTACATTATTTTTGTGATTTAAAACACAATTTCAAAAAGGGAAAGGTGATACTGACTGGCAGGATAGTACAAAAGAATGTAAAAAGAACGACTGTCATCCCATCATTTAAAAAAAAATTATTTTTAAATTTTTTGAAGTAAACTCTATCCCCAACGTGGGGCTCAAACTCAAAATTCCGAGATCAAGAGCCCCATGCTCTATGGACTGGGCCAGCCAGGTGCCCCTGTAATCCCATCATTAAGAGAAAACTCGTCAAATCTCTTTTTAAGACTTTTTAAAAAATTTTTTTAAGATCTTATTTACGTATTTGTCAGAGAGAGAGATCACAAGCAGGGGGAGCAGCGGGCAGAGGCAGAGGGAGGAGCAGGCTCCCAGCTAAGCAAGGAGCTCAATGTAGGACTTGATTCCAGGACCCTGGGATCATGACCTGAGCCAAAGGCAGAAGCTTAAGGACTGAGCCATCCAGATGCCCCATCAACATTTTAATATAAATCTTTTCAGCTCCTTTTATTTGTATAACTGATTTTTTAACCTTGTCGAGATACAGACTGAACGGTATTGAAATTCTATGTATCTTTCTTTCTTCACTTTAAGTTTTCCTAGAAGTTATCTAGTGTGGAGTTCTCCTTCTTCCATTAAAGTTATTCTGCTTCTTGGGGCACCTGGGCGGCTCAGTGGGTTAAAGCCTCTGCCTTCGGCTCAGGTCATGATCTCAGGGTCCTGGGATCGAGCCCCACATGGGGTTCTAGGCTCAGCAGGGAGCCAGCTTCCTCCTCTCTCTGCCTGCTTCTCTGCCTACTTGTGATCTCTGTCAAATAAATAAATAAAATCTTTAAAAAAAAAAAAAAGTTATTCTGCTTCTGGGTGAAAGTCAAAGCTACTTACTTGCTCAGGAAGGACTCTTCCCTGCTGATCACCAAGCCAGAAACTCCAGATCCTAGCTCCAAGGCACAGGAATGACTTAGCCACTACCATCTGGTTCAGTGAGCTTTAGACTACTTCAGGGTCACCTGGAAAGCTAAAGGTACATCGAGGTGCACAGGTGAGGGCTGGGGGATCAGACTAGGAGGCTCAACAGACTAGGAGGCTGAGGAGTCCCTGAGTACAGGGGACTAGGTCATCGGAAAGAACTACTCAAACACAATTAAGGAAGTATAGCCAAGGTGAGGCTCCCACAGACTGAACTTTGCTCCCTTCAGCTGGGTTGCAGGGCAGCACAAATTGGAAAGAGGGAGTTTCTGCTAAGGTGCTTTTTGCAGTGGGGAGATCTTACTCTTGAGCCTAGTTCAAAGGGGAGAATGATTACCTAAACATCAAGAGTAAATCCACACTTGTGGTTTACAAACGACCTCTGAACAAGGCTCCTTTGGACTTAAACAATGACCAGCAGGAACAGGCCAAGCATGGGAGTGGGTCTTAGAGAGAAAACTGCTCACGGCATCCTTTGGGCCCCAGCTGTACCTGCAAAGAACTTTGGTGAGCAGAACCAGCATGTGGGGGACCTGGTCCTAGCATTATGGGGGATGGGAGGGGGGCCACCACTTGCATCAGCATCTGAATGTAATCCATTTGTAACCCTGCACAGTATGGAGTAAGAATCTATGGGTAAGTTTATAATCAGAGGAAATAAACATTTAGTATCCAAGAGTCAGGAAAGAGGCAAAAGAACTGATTACAGAATGGAAATAAATAAAGAAAAGAAAATGGCTAGGTTTCAGGCCCCTTTGTCCTGACTCCAGTCCTGGTGCTTTATTTACTTACTACTCCCCAGTTGACTCCAACGCTTGCCCACTCTTGGCTGCCTGTGAAAGAAACCCAACTAAACTAGCTTAGACAACCACAGGAAGAGCCTCACAGGCAAGTGCAACTCACACTGGCTCTCTCTCTTCCTCTTCTCTCTCTTGTCTGTACATCTCTCTGCATGTCAACTTCACTCTCCCACAGACAAGTTCCTACAAGTGAATTCAAGAATAGCTGTTAGCAGTTTCCAGACCACATCTCCCAATTACCCCACCCAAGAACTTCACTCTTTCTCTTCGTGCCAATTCAAATATCCTGGTGCAGAATGGGGGGCTTGGGGGTGGTGGGGAGAGGCAGCCAGTGCCTTTGATTATCCGGAAGAAATGGGAAGATGCGAGCAGGCAATTAAACAATTAAATGTCCTCCACATGGAAATCTAATTTTCACTGGCCTCTGTTCTTCCTTGTCATAATTGCATCATTGTTTCCACAAACTCAGTAAAGATATGGATTAAACAGGAGGTTAGTGAGCTCAACTGTACCTTTTATATACATTAACAGCATCATTATTTTCATTTCCAGGTTTATTCTATTGGTTAGCTTTTATGCCTATTAGTTCTTTTTTTTTTTTTAAGATTTTATTTATTTATTTGACAGAGAGAGAGATCAGAAGTAGGCAGAGAGGCAGGCAGAGAGAGGGGGGGAAGCAGGCTCTCTGCTGAACAGAGAGCCCAATGCGGGGCTCAACCCCAGGACCCTGAGACCATGACCTGAGCTGAAGACAGAGGCTTAACCCATTGAGCCACCCAGGCACCCTATGCTTATTAGTTCTTTTGTTGTTGTTGTTGTTGTTGTTGTTGTTTTAAGATTTTATTTATTTATTTTACAGACAGCGATCACAAGCAGGCAGAGAGGCAGGCAGAGAGAGAGAGAGAGAGAGAGAGGAGGAAGCAGGCTCCCCGCTGAGCAGAGAGCCTGATGCAGGACTGGATCCCAGGCTCCTGGGATCATGACCTGAGCCGAAGGCAGAGGCTTTAACCCACTGAGCCACCCAGTCACCCCTGCCTATTAGTTCTTGATGGACTGTGACACATGGAAATTTGAGTATGCTGATAACCACCAGATATTTTGGTACATTTTTTTCTTCTTACATGGATTCATCTATTTCTGTAATGTTAACAAGAGTAATTCTGAAGACTTAAATATAATATTTCAGAATTGATTAAGCATTGTGTACCCCACTAGATAGATTCAAATCAATGTTTGCTTGCAAAAGAATTTGCTAGAGCCCTAGATTTGCACTGTTTTTCTCACTTAGCATAGTACAAAAAAAAAAAAAGAGGGGAATCCAAACTGGAGTAGAGGGCCCTGCCATATCACACACCCTGTGACCTTGAGCAGGTCCTTTAGTCATTTATGTTTCTGAGTCATTCTCTCTGAAATGGATAACATTTCCTATATAGCAGGGATATTAGGAGAAGTAGAGATAACAGACGCCTAGCACAAGTTATGGGAGGCTTAATAAACGGTGCTTATTGATTTTGGCCAATCCCATAGCCTGCAGATGCCCTGAGAAATCCTTATCCCAGGTTGGGAGGAGTCAGCCTTGCTCCTCTACATATTTGCCTGACCAAATTACATAGAAAGAAATCACCGGTTTACAGGGATCTTTCTTCTCTGAGCCCCAATTGCCCTACATAGCTCATGGTCCATTTGATCTACCTATTACTCTGCCATGGGACATATCTGACACAGTTAACTCGGACCATAAGCTCCCACATTGTTCACATGTTTCACCATCGGTTGCCAAACTGACCTCATTTCCTGCCAAGCTAACTTCATTTCCGTTTTTGATAGGGTTACTAAACTGGATGGGTTCCGAGAATACTGCTTACACAGTATATCTGGATTCTGCAAAGGGGATGATAAGGTCCCGTGGTATCTCTGTGGCCAGGATGGCCAAAAAAAGTAATAGGGTAGACAGCAGAAGTCGTAACTGCTAGGAAGCACATTCACTCATTCACACAGCAAATAGCTACTGAGGGCCGGTGTGGAGCACTGAATAAGATTCTATGGACAGAAGCTAACAAAAGAGACAAGACTTTCAGAGCTTCCCTTCTAGTGGTAGGGAAAGAGACAATGAACACACAAATCATCTGGAAATTTATTTTATATATATATATGTGTGTGTGTGTGTGTGTGTGTGTGTGTGTATAATTTATTTATTTATTTGACAGAGAGAGAGACACAGTGAAAGAGGAAACACAAGCTGGGGAAGTTGGAGAGGGAGAAGCAGGCTTCTTGCTGATCAGGGAGCCCTATGTGGGGCTCAATCCCAGGACCCTGAGATCACGACCCGAGCTAAAGTCAGACACTTAACAACTGAGCCTCCCAGGTGCCCCTCATCTGGAAATTTCTAAAGCTGATAAGTGTTACCAAGAGAATAGCATGACTTGGGGCAGAAGAGGGGTGCTCCTTTACCTATAGTAGTTTAGGGATCTAAAGACTGAGGAGGGGGCACCTGGGTGGCTCAGTAGGTTAAAGCCTCTGCCTTTGGCTCAGGTCATGATCCCAGGGTCCTAGGATCAAGCCCCGAATCTTATCGGGCTCTCTGTTCTGCAGGGAGCCTGCTTCCCCCCTCTCCTTTCTCTGCCTGCCTCTCAGCCTACTTGTGATCTCTGTCTGTCAAATAAATAAATAAATCTTTTTTTTTTTTTAATTTTTTAAATAAAAAAATAAAGACTGAGGAGCAGGGGTGCCTGGTTGTCTCAGTCAGTTGGGTATGAAGCTCCTGATTTGGGGGTTGTAAGTTCAAGACCCATTGTGGATATAAAGCTTACTTAAAAAAAAAAAAAAAAAAAAGACGAAAGAAGAGCCAGCTGCGGGAACTTCTGCAGCTAAAGCCCTCCAGGCAGAGGGAACAGCAGATGAAGAGCCCCTTGTAGAGAATATGTTTGGTATATTTAAGGTCTGGGAAAGAAAAGCAAGGCCTGGAAGCTCAAATGAAGTGAGAAAGGCACAGATGAGGGAGGGGAGACCCACTTGTGAAAAGTCTCTCGGATGATGTTCCCCAGGGGAGTTTCATATGACCCCAGCTATTTATTGATCCTGTCAGTCCTCCACTTGGCAGAAGCAGGACCTGGAGCAACCTGATTCCCTCCCTACCACCATCACCTTGGATTATAAAAAGTTCCATCTACTTACCTGTGTTCTGTGCACGTATTATAATTTCTTTTGCGTTCCATGATTTGGAAAGTCGGGCAAAGCTAATGTAAGTTTTTGTAACTCACGTTAAACACTTTACATTTTAACCCCTGTATAGTCTCAAGGGACAAAATTAGAACCATTGCCTAAAAAATACACAGAAAGACATGTACTTCAAAGTAAGGAGGAGGGGGGCTCCTGGGTGGCTCAGTGGGTTAAAGCCTCTGCCTTCGGCTCGGGTCATGATTCCAGGGTCCTGGGATCGAGCCCCACGTCGGGCTCTCTGCTCAGCGGGGAGCCTGCTTCCTCCTCTCTCTCTGCCTGCCTCTCTGCCTACTTGTGATCTCTGTCTGTCAAATAAATAAAATCTTTAAAAAAATAAATAAATAAAATAAGGAGGAAGGACGCCTAGGTTGGCTCAGTGGGTTAAGCAGCTGCCTTCGGCTCAGGTCATGATCTCAGGGTCCTGGGATTGAGTCCCGGATCAGGCTCCTTGCTCAGTGAGGAGCCTGCTTCTCTCTCTGCCTCTGCCTGCTTATGTTCTCTCTCTCTCTCTGACAAATAAATAAAATCTTTTAAAAAACAAAACAAAACCAAGGAGTAACTTTAAAAATTAGCAGAACCATCCAATGAGGGAATAAGCTGCCTCAAAAAACAGTCTGCTAGGAAGAAGAAAATATACATATTCATCACATCATCTAATTACCCTTTTTTTGGTAGTGGTGAAAACCGTTGAGATCTAGCAAATTTCAAGTATACAATACATTATTATGAACTCTGCTCACTGTGGTATACATTAGGTCTCCAGAACTTATCTTATAGCTGAAAATTTGTACCCTTTGACCAACATCACCCCATTTCTCCCACTCTCAGCCCCTAGTAATCACCACTCTTAAAAAAAAAAAAAAAATTTAAGGGCGTCTGGGTGTCCCAGTCATTTAAGTGTCTGCCTTCAGCTCAGGTCATAATCCCAGGGTCATGGGATCATGACCTCATCCTTTAATACTCAGCAGGGAGCCTGCTTCTCCCTCTT